CTGACGTTGCTCCACTGCCTTGTGGATTACATTTTTAGGTCAGAGACTCCGCGTGTGGCCTCCTAAGAAAACCACCTCTTTCGATCTGGCCACTCGGGAAGTATCACAGCCCACACACAAATAAAATGAAATGACGATAATTACTGAAAATACTACTCTCGCCTCAATTAAAATTTAGACAGTTCACATTCATTTTTATTTTTTATATACTACGACACTTATCAACTCTCTTTTATTCCCACTTTATGTATCGCGATTTTGCAACTCATACAACAGCTCGCCTATGGTGGAAACTCTGTTCTATCTAAACGATCTCGAGTCACTGACTGGCCGAAAGTTGAATCCTACCACCGACTACGAATACTGACCCAATCTTTCTTAAATCGAATAAATACCATTCAAAATGGCTTTTTTCAACGTTCGCACACTAATGCGAATCGGAAAACAGATAGGGTTGACTGTGTCTTTAAAAAGTCTCAACATTTATGTCTGTTGTCTATCCAAGACTAGTATTCAACACTAGTGAAGTACTGCGAATTAGCTCTCCATCCGTCGCTTCGAAAAGCTTGTGTTTACGTGCGTTTATCCGGGGACCCTGTGGCATCTCTGTCTGGTTACGCGGACGTTGGTGTCGCACTAAGCACTAGAGCTGAGACAGAACTAATACATTGGATCCCCATTAAAAGTCGGTTATGTGCTGTTAGATTAGAAAGCTCCATCAAAGTAAGAAAAATTCGGTGTAAGAAAAGATGTTTTTCCTTAGTCTCTGCCTATCCCACGACAGATTACAACCGGAGTGAACTTTACCACCAGTTAAATGATCTCCGGAAAGCTCCTTAGACAGATATTGTAGTGCTAGACGGAGACTTGAGTGCGAAAGTCTGGCGTCTAGACACAAAAGAGAGTCGTTTAGGTGCCCGATGGGGACTTGTTGGTCACAGGTTAGATAACAGGGACCGTCGACTGCAACTCTGCGCAGATCACAACCTGTTTCTGGCTGACACTAACTACCGGCACAGTCATCGTCGATGTGCCACATGGCGCCCTCGCTCTGCATCTCAAGCCTGGACTCTGGTCACATCACGATCGCCTACCTTTGGTGTGTCTCTGGCCAACAAATCGATTGTTCTAAACGAATCGATGTCAGCAAATTGATTACAACTTTTGTTGCAACTAAATATCAAACCGAGCTAGGTTCAAGGCTAGCTAACATCCCACCGGAAAGTATAAATGAGCATTAGTTGCAATTGCACGACACCATGAAAATTGAGAGTAAAGTCACTTGCGACTTTGTGAAACGTCCAGTTCATCAGCATAATGTTTCTACAGGGTCTTTACAACCCATTGAAGCACATCGGTCTACTCTGGGTGACCTCGAGCTTGGCCACAAACGAAGATTGTCACGTAATGAAGATGTGCATAGCTTGCATAAGAACCGAGAAGCCTGGTGGTTGGAGCGTGCCAATGGGTTGGAAGCAGCAGCTGCAACTACCGGAAGGTCTTTCAACTCATCCGAGTCACTGCCAGCAAGACGTCTGGTGTGAGTTAAACAATATGTAAAGATGACAGAATGTCAATCACCAACACCTGCCGACATCTTGGACGATGGGCAGAGTTTTTTGAGGGGCAGCTAAACTGGCCTGATGACGACCGTCTGGTTAAGTAACTGACTGAGTAGTTATAAGGTGTTCCGATATCGTGGAATGAGTCGATAGTCGTCTTTATCTTTAAGAGGGGTTCACGTAATCTATGCAACAACTATTAGGGGATAAGTCTACTTCCGATTGTGTCCAAACTATTGGCTTCCGTCATACTTCCCAGATTGTTTAAAACAGAAAAGATCGACTCACAAAGAGAAGGTTGGTTTTCGTTCTTATCAAGGCTGTTTTGATCATCTTTTCACCCACCACCAAATATTAGAGTACCGTCATACTTATTACAAGTCAACAGTCCTAGTGTCTCTTGGCATCAAGGCCGCCATCAATTTGTTGGACAGTTCTGTTCTCCGGGATTGTCTGTTGAAGAAGGGTGTGCCTGAGAAGTTTATTAACATCTTAGAAGCCTCATAAACAAACACCGCAGGCAGAGTGAAGGCATGCGACCAACTGGGTAGCTGCGTAAGTGCTGGTGGTGGTGCGAGAGATGAGATCGATTCACGTATAGTGGAAGCCAGGGAAGCTTATGCCAATCTGGGCCATCTTCGGCGCCTTCGTCACGTTAGTCTGGCCGTAAAAGGTCGGATCTACAACGCGTCGGTGAGAGCAGTTTTGCTCTATGCTTGTGAAACCTGGCCTCTCCGAGTTGAGGATGTTAGACAACTCTGTGTTTGGTCATCGCTGTCTCCGAAGGATTGCTGACATTCAGTGGCAACACCATGTCAGTAATGCAGAGGTTCGGCATCGTGTGTTCGGGCACAGAGACGATAATTCAATTGGTGTCACCATCTTGAAACACCGACTTCGGTGGCTTGGACATGTTCTACGAATGTCATCCCAGACAATTCCACGTCGTTCATTATTTGTCGACTCTGGAACTGGTTGCAAACAGGGGAGGTGGTAGGTGCACAACATGGAGTAGTAGTATGAAAGAGAGTTGTGCAGGACTGACTTATGTTGGTCCTTCATGACTCCGTGGTTAGGATCTCAGAGATGGTGTAACACACTGACCATAAATGTTATCAGAAATGGCTCAGAATAGAAGCCACTAGCGATCCTGCTGTGACTCTCTTTTATTTTCTTCATAAAAAAATGGTAGAATTCTTCGTGGTTATACTTTTGCTAACTGAACTGCCCATCGCATTATTATTATTTCACTGTCATATTCTAATTGCTGTTCGTTATTGAACTCGAATTATTAACTCCGGTGCCGTGTGGCAAATATCTAATAATAAGAGAGAAATTAATGCCTTTTTGGATAAATCTTTTTCCAAACCGAAGTGCGTAAGCAAAATAATATATAGTCTAGGGATCAACTAGAAATCCGTATGAACTCATTTGAAAGTGTATTTGATTGGTTAAGTTATATTAACTTATTGCTTATTATGAAGCTGACTGCTGAGACGAAAGTTATGATGTTGCAAGTTTGATAGCGGAAGCGGCATATAATTTAAATAGCCTTTGTGTACCCACTCTTAGACAATCCCAAATAATTTGCTTTGATTTACTAACACTTGACATAAATTGTTATGATTTTAAAGAAAACTGCAATCTATTAAGATTATGGGGAGACTGGGGACTTCAACCGATAGTTCTGTATACTGGTTTTTTTTCACGATAATTATATTCTTCGAGGGGTTGGAGTTCTAGTTAAATACGGCTACGATGCAATGATTCACTATATAAATTTAGTTTCCATGCGACGATCAAATTAGGTCCTGTGAGTTTGATTCTCCAATCTATGGTTGGAGACTTGGTGACATGGCTCTGAATCTATCACAATAGCGCCCGTGTATACACTCTCTATCTTCCCTTAAACTAAAAGATTAAAATCGCTTCATATCTTTCTTTCTACGAACTAATTCTCTCTTTCTGTACTATATCCTTATTACAATCTTTCTTTTATATGTTACCACCTCTGAATTTACTACTTTTATGAATCCGGTGTCCATCTTGTTGAGTAAATGAGGTATGGAAACTTGGGCCGATGCATATATGTGCCTGGTCCTACGTTGTAGCTGACTGACTGACTGACTATGGAAATCAGTAGACTACAAATGCAAGGACCGAAATGGTCAAATGTACTTTAATAAACGAAAGTGGGAGCTGAAAGCTCTCCATATTTAACAACTGAACCAAAATCATTTGGGAAGACAACCAAGAAGGATCGTACGAGTCCATGCACAGAAACATTCTCGTGAAAGATAGATGTATAACTGGTCGTTTAAAATTTGAAAATCCCAGATGTCTCATGCTTGTGACGAACTGATTGATATTCGAGTCCTAAAATACGGTAACAGCTGTACATAATCAAATGTGCAAGTCATACGTGATGGCTTGATCTTTGAAAAACGGGACTCCGACAACCTAGGATACAACAACGAACAAAGTTTTGTTAAACACATGGTGTGCCCCTGGTACGGCCGAGAGTGGGGAGAGTCCACTCTCCTTGAAATGCTCTCATATGGCCACGCGTATATAGCCTCTGCCAGGGAAGTCCTACTCACTGCTTTCTCGTGGCGGGAGTGTTTTTACGGAACTGAGAGGACGAGAAGTGAATATTTAACGTTTTAGCCGGGTTGGCGGACATAGAGGATCCACCTAAGGGAGTTGGAAAACCCTGATTCTAAACCAATGGTGCACATCAGCTCCAGTACCAATGGCGTATGAACCAATCGTGTCACCGGCTACCATGGGACTGCATCTCCTCACGATGCTCCACTGCCTTGGGGATTAGACCTTTATGTCGAAGGCTCCGCGTGTGGTCCCCTAAGAAAACCGCCTGCTTCGGTTTGAGCATCCGGGCAGTATCACAGCCCTCGCACAAATCAAATGAAATTTTTGTGGCGCATATGTATCTGGTGTCCTCTTGTACCAGTATTAATGTGTTCAAATAAATAACAAGACACATGGTGTTATGATTCATTGCACTACAATTACTTTCTCGAAAAGTACGAGCTCATGTGTTTTTAAGGAAAATACAGTAAATTCATTTCTCCAATCGCATACTTATCCGGGGTACTGCTCACCGCTTATAATTGGAATCACACAAACAAACTGGAATGACTGAGTTTGTACGTTACGATTCAAATTACTTATTACACAAATGCAACGAATGGATATTCGTAGCAGGGAAAAAGCTGGGACTATAACCAACATTTTTATTTACCGTCACACCATTTGCAATGTTCCTATAGTATAATGAGATCCTGAAAATTAGAGACACTCTTGGTATTAAAGTAACAAAAAACATAAGGTACTACATGACCTATTATTGATTTAAATAAAGGGGAAAATCGAAAACTGGGTAAAGGTTTGGTAAAATGACTTATAGTCACAACTTACCTGTTGGAGTGAGTAAGTGCGTAAGAACAAGCTAGAAAACCACCCAAACTATGGCCAAGTAAAATAAACTTCTCCAGGTTTAACGATGATCTCCACTGCTCAATAGACTCGACCCACTTTTCCTCTACTGCAGTGGCGTCGACCGGGAAAGGAGGTCGAGAGCTTCGTCCAAATCCGAGAACATCAAGTGAATACACAGGGCGATAGCAGGCGAACGCATCAATGTTTTTACACCAAAGAGCAGATCCAGAACCAAATCCATGAACCAATACAATAGGAATGGCTTGGTTTGTATCTGTGATTTTGCCTGTAGGCGATATTTGATCCGATTTATGACGTCGGAAAACAAAGGTTCTAATGTAGCAGGAGCCATTGAAAATAGGTACGAAAAAAGCCTCGACACCGCTTTTTATTCCTATATGTCAACAGGTTAATATCGTAAATGAATAAATACGTGACAGCAGTTTTTGCTCCGAGGATTTTAGAAGATCATTTGATGTACGACTCCATCTTAACCAAAGTGGAAATATACTTTCTTTGTTGCTAACGTCTCTGAAAATGTTATTCAAGAGAATTCAAGACATACATCTCCCCAATATTGCAAGATACCGCCATTCCCAGGAGGTCCAATCGCCACCGCAAGAAATGTAGGCGAAACGATGTGTATAAACAAATGTACTTCACCTGAATCACGCATTCATTTCTCCCAATAAAAACTGCTTCGTACCCTTTTAAATCGATGAAAAACTTTATCCGTTTTGTTTTCGTATCTTCTAAGAAGTCTTTAGTATTCTAACAGTTAACTCTGGAATCAAAAGTGTAATGGACCAGGAACATTTGATAAACCGAAGAGCAAAGTTTTGAATAAAAGGGTCTCAATTGAACGGTTTAATTAATTCTTTTTGAGAGGATATTGATTTCAGATTTCAGATTTGTGTAGTAAGGACACAAGGCCTACGGCCTATGTTATTCCTTTTCTAGTATGCTTCTGTGAGTGTCCAGTCTTCTCTTGAAAGAGTCAATTGAAGGTGCGGACACCACTGCTTCAGGCAGCAGGTTCCAAGTATTGATGACTCGGTGTGAAAACCTGTATGCCACGGGTATTTTGTTCGTTCTTGGCTTTTCTACTCGCCTGCTATGTCCTCTGAGGTGTCCCGATCTAGTGGGAAGAAAAAGAGAGAATAAGTTAGGTCCGAAATCATGTCTCAATATTCTGTACATCAATATTAGATCTCCCCTTAGTCTGCGATAGAACAGAGTAAAGAGGTTCAGTTTTTCAAGCCGCTCTTTATATGATAACCCCTGGAATTCCGGAATTACACGCGTAGCTGCCCTCTGCACTTTTTCTAGTATGTCTGAGTCACCTTTTAAACAGGGGCTTGCAGCCTGAACACAGTTCTCTAACTTAGTTCTCAATAAGGATGTATATAATGTGGTGAACATGTTAGTATCAGCCTTAGTGAATATCCTTTTTAAAGCCCAGAGGGTTCGAAACCCCTTAACTGCGACCTCCCGGCAATGGGCCGTCGTCTTAAGATCATTGCTCACTGTCACCCTTAGATCCTTATGAGACCGGACTACGGGTAATGGCACATCCCCTATGTTGTATGTATTACCCATTGAATCCCCCAAGTGCATGTAGAAACAATTTTCCGAGTTGACAGAACTCAGCCACTCTTTAGACCAGTTTATCATATTATTTAAGTCCGCCAGAAGAGTTCCTCGAAGTATTCCACCCGTCTGTTCTTGAATCTCGGTGACTTGTTTTTCTCCTTTGTCCTTGACTGGTCTCTCTGGTTTACTAAATCTCCCTGCTAGTTTTTTCGTTGTGTCATATGGCCGTGTCATATTCCCTTCTCTTTCAGCTTTTTCCGCCGTTGTTACTATGTCTCCTACATATTTCCGCTTGTCGGCCCTAATGCTCCTCTTCACTTGCTTGTTTACTCCTGTGCATTCAGCTTGTGCCTTGACTTTCTCTGCTTTTATTCTGCTGTTGTTTATTGCAGTCTTTTTTTTCTTCCTTACCTGAACCTTGTCTAGGGTTTCCATAAAGATCCATTACTTATGATGATGCTTCTTTCGGCTCAAAACCTCCTGACACGTTGAAGTTAATGCTTCTTTGATCCCTTCACAGTTGTTCTCCACAGTAGTTTCTTCTCATTATTTGAGTAGATCTTGTAAGGCTTGGAACCAATTGTTAAGAATGATCTTGAATTTGTTGAGTTTGTCAGTATGTCAAAGGTAGGCTGTATTGAACCTTTGTACTGCTGTTTCTGGTGGAGTTTTGTTCTCTGAGCTGGATGGTTTGGTCGTGGAGCTTTCATCGTTCTTCTGAACGACATCATCAGCACAAACTTCAGATAGAAGTGAAGTGTTTGAATTTCTCCATATGTGTCTCAAAGCTTGTTCTGTGCACCTCGACGTTGATTGGTTCTTATTGACCTTAAATTTGTCGTTGTTTACTTCTTTGTTTTGGTTGTGTCTTCTTCAGAAGAACGACTACCCCATCAACTTCATCAAAAAATACCAACCGCACGCAGCATTAGAACCCAAGTCAAGCACAAAAATCAACAAAAGGATCACCCTACCATATATACAAGGAATATCAGAAACCGCGACGAGAATGCTGAAAACCTTCGGAATAGGTGTGGCACACAAACCGACAAAATCACTACAATCAATCTTATGCAAGCCAAAAGATGGAGTAACAAAGGAAAACAAATCAAACATCATCTACAAAATAAATTGTGCCAACTGCGAAAAACACTACATCGGACAAAGCGGACGCCCCCTTCACCTTCGCCTACATGAACATCAATTAGCAGTCAAACGGCATGATATCTCTTCACTTATATCAATACACGTGGACAACTGCGGACACTCATTCGATTGGAAAAATGTGGAAATCTTAGACAGAGGAAACTCCAAAAACACCAGAGAATTTTTAGAAGCCTGGCACTCAGGTCAATCAGCAATCAACAAACATATTGAAATCAATCCAATTTATCAACCAATCAGAAAAATCATGCACAAACATAAGAACGAAAATCAAAACAATGGGAGACACAACCAAAACAAAGAAGTAAACAACGACAAATTTAAGGTCAATAAGAACCAATCAACGTCGAGGTGCACAGAACAAGCTTTGAGACACATATGGAGAAATTCAAACACTTCACTTCTATCTGAAGTTTGTGCTGATGATGTCGTTCAGAAGAACGATGAAAGCTCCACGACCAAACCATCCAGCTCAGAGAACAAAACTCCGCCAGACATTCGCTTTTCGTCCTCTCATTTTCGTAAACAACACCCCCGTCACGAGAAGGCAGTGAGTAGGACTTCCCTGGGAGAGGCTATATACGCGAGGCCGTGTGAGAGCGGACTCTCCCCACTCTCGGTCGTACCAGGGCATTTATCCCAGAGTTGATGTTCACTGTTCAGAAATATGGTAATGTAGGTGGATTCATTCGTTAGTTCTGTGAATCGAAAGTTTTAAAATGACCTCTATCTTCAATTTTTCGATTTACTTTAAACTGGATTTCATTATTACTGTACCGTACTGACCTGCATGTGCCTAAAAGGCCGACAGGATCATGGTCAACTGTAGTAGTGAATACAGGGATAAGCTGATTTCTGACATAGCAGGTTCACATCATTTATATAAGCACGATCAATAATTTGCAACATGGGCTAACATATGAGAAGCCACCCAGGTAGGCCTTTAAATTAGATAAAATCAGCGAAATCGTATAACAGAATATTCATGCCGATATATTAACTACTGAATAAATATGCTTGCATGTTAGTGCAGTATTGTGATTTCGTGGTCCTTACAATCCGTACAAAAATGGCGCCTCGTAGAAATTATGACCTTGGAGAACATACACCTAACTGAAACTTCACATTTCTGTGCTAAACTTGTGGTGCTGCTTATGCAACATAACTGTCTGGCAAGTTTACGACTATCACAAAGTATCTGATGAACGGTGCTCGGTATAACGCATGAACTTGAAAAAAGCGTACTTGTTTCAGCCGTAAGAAGAAACGCTATGGTTAAGCAATGCAAACGTGATGCTGAAAGAAAGCGAAACAAAAGATCAGGAATACATTCGGACAGAAAAGCTGTTTTGAAAGATGCTTTGATGATCCTGAATCCATGAGATTCCGATACTATACGTGTTTTTCATGTTTCTTTGAAGAACATCAGTGCAACAACCAATATACACGAGACATTTTCTTCTTCATGATCAGGGTACAACAGAACCTCAGTCGAAGCTTATCTTTTCTATCCAGCTTGCTTCTAACGGTTTTTGCTTGTTCCAAGCTCTTCCAGGTTCTATCTCATTTCCTCGACAATTTGACTGGTACTCTCAGTCTCCTACATTGTGGCGACATCCAATGTACCTATGTTAATTGTTGCTCTGATTTTTAGAAAGACAATCGGCCTCGTGACTTCTGAAGAATCTCGGCTTTTATCATAAGGCATCATAACTCTTCTAAATGTTGCCCCTTGTACTCCGTGAGCAGAATTAAAATGAATTTTTCTGGCTGTCGTATTTTAGCAAAGTTCTTTTTCACGGAATGAGATTACTGACCCTAGAAAAACCTCAGGCGGACTTGTTTTAGTATTTAAAAAAACATAATAATGAACCTGTCAATCATCTACGAAGTTTAAAAAGGCTGATAGTATATATATATATATATATATATATATATATATATATATATATATATATATATATATATATACTTCGTTAATAAAAGAACTTTAAAACCTGGAAGCAGATTTTGAACTTGTTTTTATCAGTATTTGTCAATTGTCGGTTGGTCGTTTATTTTAAGTTTTATAATATAATTGTGATTGGTTTTAGGTTGGGCCTACGGTAATTTGAAAATCTTTTAATGCTAACAAGACTAATGAGAAGTTGACAGACGACGTCTAAGAAAAACACTTCAACGTTAATGATCCACGCACCAAATAGAGAAGGGACGTTTTAGGACAACTTTATCTTTCGAACCGAAAATCAAAAATTCAACAACTCCGTTTACAAAGTAACACTCATTGACGTTGGGATGCATAAGACAACTAGCAGACTGTAATTAAAAACAACTAATCTGATAACAGTGTAGATCACTACTGAAATATAATTTATAAAAATGCCATCGAGATTATTCTTTAAGAAAAAAAGATAACATGTAAGTAATCTGAGTTCTCCTTAGCAGTTTATACTGGCGAATTGGTAATATGTTACTCGGTTCGACGATTTCGTCTTCAGGTGCTCTCCGTAATCTGAGTGGATTTTTTTATAACTTGCATGAAATTTATGCATCAATGTTAGACACTTTTCTTGTTGTAAATGTCTAGTAAGTAAACGATAATGTGTAATTTTAAATTACAATTCTAATATCTAACATTTTTTAATCCCTAAGATAACAGAAATACCGCGAGCAGAACAACTTGAATCGACCCAGAGTTTTCCTTACGATAATCACATTCAGTCAACTAATGGTGAGGATGATGTTTTCAAGCCTCCATCACCGATCCACATAACGATGAAGACTGGGGGGACCGTCTATGATAAATCAAATTCCAATACAATGGATTCTATTGATTTAAACGATTTGGATGGGTCTGTAGCTTTGGATT